GTAAACTTTTGTAATTTTTATCTGGAGTTTTTAAATTAACTCCAATAGTTACTTTATCCAGCCTACTTTGTTCTAAATTACCGTAAGTAACCTCCAACAAATCAACTGCTTCTTTGTAAGAGTCATTTACATTTGGAAAAGCTTGTATGAGGGTGAGTGCTTCTCTTACCTGTTTTAAGCAGCATAATTTAGTAACACATGCAAGGTCATTCCTATTATGCACAGCTGCTGTAAAGATAGACAAAAATTCTTCCCAACTATCTCCTGGAGTAAACACAGGTAAACATAATTCTGGGAGTTTGGGTAAACACATCTTATTTACACTACTAGGTTGACTAACTGCATCGTTTACACACTTTAATTTAACCAAATTCTTACTTTTACAGGACAGAATGTTCTCTTCCAGATCATAATATTGATTAATTAAAGTTTCACTTTCATCATCACCTACACAATTCTCCCTCACAATTTTCATAATGCAATTTATATGACTCAAATCTACTGTGTAAAGTCTCTAAACATAATTTTAAATCATCAGTCTTCATAGTTCCCTCTTTCATTAAATCCAAGCACTTACTGTATGCTTTCGTCACTTGACCTTTCCTAGCCTGTAACGAAGCTTTCATTGCTCTAAAATCCATGGACTTGCCAGCTACATTATCTTCATCAGATCCACCCAGGGTTCAATGTAATTAATAAACACTGATTATACAAATTAAGTAGATACTTTGTAAGGGTACTTCTTACAACTTACCTGTGCATAAATTTTAGCAACACTTCGCCTTAGCAATTATACATTTGTGTAAATTATACATCTAGCCCTACCTGGGCTTATCGAATTAATAATGTAAATTTCACAAATATACATTAATATAAATGTTAGCCACACTTGGGCTTAGTATATTGATTGTGGTAATTATAATCCAACACACAATTAATTAAATTTGTGTACTCAACACCCACTTCCCTTAATCAGTCACTTAATGATTAAGTAATTAATCAATAAAATAATGAATTCGCTAATTACATTCGGTTCAAGGAAGGAACTACAAGCAGATGTGAGAAATAATTTACCTGCATGAACCTATTATGATCTTACAAGTAATCTGGGTAGGATACAACTAAAGGTAACTATTTTCCAAGTGTTGTACCTCAGAGGCATGTGGAAATTTAAGACACTCTGGTCACAAGGAGAACCTCCCTCTGGTACCCACTACCCTCATACACTCACACCTCACCGAGATCAAACAATATTTATATTAACTTCAAACATCACCAATACTTATGATGTTAATATGTATAGTGGACAGTAGAGATTAACTGTACTGACAAGAGGAAAAGGAAAAGAGGGGGAGAGGTTACATAGATATAGGCATCATAGAGAAAATACTGGGATAATAATACCACCACTTACCCAGTTTTCTCTGGTGGTCACTTGATGCAGCTGGGTTACCCACTACCTGCCTATTATATAGAAACTATGCTGGCCAACATGTATCTATACAACAGAACTGGTACTTAACTGTGGTGGGCTGCATTCTCTATTTCTCCTTTCTCCGTGCAATCTCGAAGCCCTGCTTGGTTGATGTAGATGCAATTATAGCAGGATGCTATTTCCGATTTGGTTTTCCAATTTAGGAAGGTGAGCCCAATAAATGCTCCGTGGATCTCGCAAATAGGATGCCAGGTCAATATGCGGTCACACTGGGATATGGCAAACTCTTCTTACTTTAATTATCCCCTTGGCTCAGTGTTATTTTCATTATTTTCTGCACAGTTCGCAGTGTGGTATCTTACTACATTAATTTCCACTTATTTGAGATCGATTCGCTGTAATTTGTCCTCAATAAAGTTTGATTAAATCGGCAGGTTATTTCTCCCTCATGCACACTGTCTCTCATTAGTGTCCCTTACTATTTTCCGTTCTCACCACGCTATTATTGTGGTTTCGTTCACTTTCTGTCCCATATTCTACACTAGGAACAGTTACAACACTTCCCACTGTGAAATGAGACCCATATTTATACTTTAGGCATTCTGAAACACCAGAGTCCTGGCCCCATTCAAAAATCACTCCAGTGTCTCCCGCCTTCTCCCCTCGTGCAAGCACAGAGCCCCTGTTGGTTCTTCTTTTTCACTCCCAATTAAATTTTAAGCCAACAGCAATACACTAATTACGTGCATTCACGTTATAAAATCTGTATAATATAAATTTGGGAAAATTAGATCAAAATTTTCACACACGCTTTTAAAACGTGTGGGAGTTGTGTTTGCGGCTGAGGTCCTGAACCTACTGCCTTGACACAGTGACGGTCAACACCACACAAGGTAGGTCAGGTGACTTAAGTAAGCCAGCAGCAAAACTAGAGTATGGCAATTAACCTTGTGCTTCAGAACAGTTGCACAATTTTCAGTAAACATCAATTTTCCTATATACCTTACAGCATATAATAATAATATTGAGAAGTAATCAAGAACAATTTTCTTATCCAAGTTGCATCAGATAATAATATATAGTCGAACATCCTCATTTTAGCTATTAATGACGAAGTTGATAACATAATATTACGTGAAACAGGGTTGTCTAAATATTTCTCAAATATACAATGGTACTCATGTGTATGGTATACACCAGTTATGGTATTACAGAGTATGGTGCAAGATGGTTAGGGTATTACAGAGTATGGTGCAAGATGGTTATGGTATTACAGAGTATGGTGCAAGACGGTTATGGTATTACAGAGTATGGTGCAAGATGGTTATGGTATTACAGAGTATGGTGCAAGATGGTTATGGTATTACAGAGTATGGTGCAAGATCTTTATGGTATTACAGAGTATGGTGCAAGATGGTTAGGGTATTACAGAGTATGGTGCAAGATGGTTATGGTATTACAGAGTATGGTGCAAGATGGTTATGGTATTACAGAGTATGGTGCAAGATGGTTTGGTATTACAGAGTATGGTGCAAGATGGTTATGGTATTACAAGTATGGTGCAAGACGGTTATGGTATTACAGAGTATGGTGCAAGATGGTTATGGTTATTACAGAGTATGGTGCAAGATCTTTATGGTATTACAGAGTATGGTGCAAGATGGTTAGGGTATTACAGAGTATGGTGCAAGATGGTTATGGTATTACAGAGTATGGTGCAAGATGGTTATGGTATTACAGAGTATGGTGCAAGATGGTTATGGTATTACAGAGTATGGTGCAAGATGGTTATGGTATTACAGAGTATGGTGCAAGACGGTTATGGTATTACAGAGTATGGTGCAAGATGGTTATGGTATTACAGAGTATGGTGCATGATGGTTATGGCATTACAGAGCATGGTGCAAGATGGTTATGGTATTACAGAGTATGGTGCAAGATGGTTATGGCATTACAGAGTATGGTGCAAGATGGTTATGGTATTACAGAGTATGGTGCAAGATGGTTATGGTATTACAGAGTATGGTGCAAGATGGTTATGGCATTACAGAGTATGGTGCAAGATGGTTATGGTATTACAAAGTATGGTGCAAGATGGTTATGGTATTACAGAGTATGGGTCAAGATGGTTATGGTATTACAGAGTATGGTGCAAGATGGTTATGGTATTACAGAGTATGGTGCAAGATGGTTATGGTATGTCAGAGTATGGTGCAAGATGGTTATGGCATTACAGAGTATGGTGCAAGATGGTTATGGTATTACAGAGTATGGTGCAAGATGGTTATGGTATGTCAGAGTATGGGTCAAGATGGTTATGGTATTTACAGAGTATGGTGCAAGATGATTATGGTATTACAGAGTGTGGTGCAAGATGGTTATGGTATGACAGAGTATGGTGCAAGATGGTTATGGTATTACAGAGTATGGTGCAAGAGGTCTTCAGGGTCTCCCCCCTTCCCCATCCTTTTTTGCTCAATGGTTTTACGGGGTTATGATAAGACTCTCTACATTTATTTCAGATCTAAGAATTGATACCTAAATTAGCTCATTTGAAAATCTTTTTATTGTGATGAGACATCTAAACAGGAAATTGGATGAAAGTGGAGCCATCTGTGGGCCAGTAATGTTAATAGATCAACTGACTTTATTTCATCGATATCATTATGTTGTACAAACATGTTCCAGACTCGAAGTCATTACAGAGAAGAATAATCTTGGATAGTATAGTAGTAGTAATAGTAGTAGCAGTAGTACTAATAGTAGCAATAGTAGTAGTAGTAGTAGTTGGGAACCTGGCAGAGCTGCTGGTCCCCAACAAGGTGGGGTTGGGGGGGTTATGGGAGTAGTACTAAGGTGTCATTTTTCAGGGTATCCCAAAACAGAGTGCCGCTGTGTGACCAGTGACATAAAGGTGTGACTTTTGGAAAGCATTTTGGCACTAGCTCCCAGCCCCCAAAATGGGGGTGGCTGCATGATGGGTCACACTTGGGTGTGACTTATGGGAGACGTACTAAGGTGTGATTTTGTTGGGGGGGGGAGAGGGTAATTCTAAATGGGGGGAGAAGCCGCATCAGGGATCAAATACATTTTTCCCAAGAAATTATATTTTTTATTGTCTATGATAACATTCCCATAACAATCTTGGACCATTCCTTCACCTTCCCCTCCCACCACCCACACCTTCCCCTCCACCACCCCACCTTCCCCTCCCACCACCCACACCTTCCCCTCCCACCACCCACACCTTCCCCTCCCACCACCCACACCTTCCCCTCCCACCACCCACACCTTCCCCTCCCACCACCCACACCTCCCCTATCCTCCCACCACCTACACCTTCCCCTCCCACCCTCCACACCTTCCCCTCCCAACACCCACACCTTCCCCTCCCACCACCCACACCTTCCCCTCCCACCACCCACACCTCCCCTATCCTCTCATCCCATTGTCCCAATCACCTCTCCCTCAGTGTGGGAGTGGTGAAGGTAAGAATAAAGGAGCAAAAGTGAAAGTGAGTAAACGTGAGTATGAAAACGATTTTGTGTATGAGTAACTGAGTTACCTGTTAGGAAAGAGACGAGAGTGCTGATGATGAAGGTGACTAAGATACCAGTCATGCCACTGTAACAGTACGAGATGTCATAGATGGTTTGTCCCGAGCCTCTGTGGATACATTATTATCATCATTACTCATGTCATTATCAGCGTCATCCTCTTAACAAAATAATAATATTTAACCGACTCAAGGGTTTATCCACTAGACTATGAGGACCTGACATGATTCAAACCTGTAGCTGTGTTTCTAAATGCTCTAGAAGATTTACATGGCTTTTATTGTGACCATAAATGTTACTTTCAGGACTGACCTGGCATAGGTTCGAACCCTTCGTTCAGTTAGTTGTTTTCAAAAGTGCAATTATAATATCATGAGTCATTAATAATATAATAATAATATATGTCATGTAGCTTCCTCAACTAACAGCGAGTAAATAATAATATAAAACATCTCAACATGCCATAAAAACATGAACATATTTCTGAGGGCAAAAATGCAGTAATTGTGAAAATAATTATAGGTGATAAGAAGAGATAGGTTGGAAGAGAAAAATGAGCAGAAGGAGAAAGACAAGACTCACAGGAACAAGAGAAGTTGCTAGAGGAAAACAAAGAAATAGTGGAAAGCAAGAAAGAAAGAAAAAGTAGAACTGAAAGGTCATTCAGGCTTAAATGTGCTTAAATGTAATGAAAATACTATACCACTCCTAGTATAGTATAATAATAATAATAATAATAATAATAATAATAATAATAATAATAATAAAGTAGAATCTGACTCAGTCATTGGTACAGCAGTTGTAGTGAAGGTGAAGCCAAGTGTGTTATTGAGGTCATTTTGGAGTACATCGATGAAGCTGTCTGGCAAAGTATTGTTGAAGTTCTCTGGGCAACCAAGAGTAGAGAGAGGCATCGTCTTGGGGCTTCCACCGCCCCTTACTAGCTTGCCAATCACTAGCCACATGTTGAACAAGAAAGCCAGACACACACCCACGGTGGCGCCCTGCGGGTGATGAAAATTCTCCGTTAGTTCTAATTCTGTTTCTCTTCTAAGCCGCAATAAAATTGTAATACGACTTCAAGTAAAACAGATTATTATTAATATATTAAGGGAGAAAAGGCATAATCCTATGAACACAAAATAATGAGTAGAGCACAAAACATAAAATCCAAAATGCCAGGTTTTTTCACCTTTTTGTTAACCCAAGGAGCAAATATTCCCACCAGGAAGATACCACCAAGGGGTCCATGGATGGCGCCGATGAGGCTGTTGAACACATTAGCGATGGTGCCCAGCTCTCCCACCAGTAATCCCATACATGTACCCAGCATCACCGTCGTGGTTGCTGTGTGTCCATGTCAGGAGAAAAAAGTAATTAATTGCATTTTATTTTGACTATAGACCTAGAAGAGGTGCCAAAACTAAGTTCGGAATCTTTCCATTTATAAAACCACTTAAAACTTCAGTAGCTTAAAGAATGTCAAGACCTTCCAGCTGAAAATTAAGAACTACAACTTCAATATCTTTAAGAATTTCAAGAACTTTCAAAACTTCCGAACCTTCCAGAGCTTCAAGGCCATCTAGATTTTCAAGATATTCCAGAATTTCAAGACTTTCCAGAGCATTAATACTTTACATAACATCGACACTCTCCAGAACTTTAAGACCTTTTAGAATTTAAAAACTTTCCAGAATATATAAACATTCCAGAACTTCGAGACATTTCAATTCATCGATGCCTTCAAACTTGATAAAAATAACTTTAACAGACATAGGGTTAAATTAACATAATAATTCTAACACAAGAGGCAGACTAGTAATGTTGTGGCAAAAAACAGAAAAGACGAAGCACTAATGAATTTTGATATACAAACAATAAACCATTATGAGTATGATATAATATTATCTGTAATCATATGAGAAAATAAAATCTTTTATGAAGATATCTCTGTTTACCTGTGGAAAAACTAGCGTAAGAAAAATTCACACAGAATCTAGTCTCAGAAAACTGAAGATCTTTGTGTGAGGGACATAAACAACTTGGCCATAGAAGATTAAGTTATGAGTTTTTCTCTGTAGCTTTATATATACTGATTTACATCATTATTTGCAGTTATTAACTTTAAAATATGCATAACATATTACACAAAATCTTAACAATGTTGGTGGCACGACGTTGACTGACGTTAGTAAAGTAAGGCAGGTCCCTCAGGAAGTCCACCCAGATAACACAAGCTATGGCGTTCCCGGCTGATGACAGTGAACTGTAGGGGTCAACACAACATATATTTTATTTATATGTTAGAAAAACCTACTATAAAAAATTATTACAATGCCGTGGCAGCAACAATATATGTCTAACAAATTTATAAGTATCACAACCAGATCATGTTATGAGTATGTGGAAAAGTTGTCCAATTCTTTTTCTTTGATAATGTGGATTAGTTACAGTTGTTTTAATCACGGTAATTTTATTATTATTTTTATAATAGCCATATTTTAATAGCTATAACTATTTTATAATAGCTATATTGTATTAAGTAATATAAACGCCACAGCTAAAATTGAGAAATGTAGTGTCAGTCATAGGTAGGTAAGACATTGCTAAATTAAATTCAACGTGGTGGACAGATGAAGCATCTTTGTATCAGAGGAGTTAAGAGTGAGTGAGAGAGAGAGAGAGAGAGAGAGAGAGAGAGAGAGAGAGAGTGTAAGCAAGAGAGAGAAGAGAGTACATATGTCTGGGTAGTTTTGCTGGGACATATCCAAGCAAAAGTGTAAATATATCAAGAGTAATATTGCAGGGATTTAACCCACGAGAAGTGTATGTATGCCAGTGTAGTTTTTCTTGAGGTTAAACTTAGATGTGTAAATATGTCACTTTATTGTAATTGTGCTGGAGATTAATCTAGAAGTGCAGATATATCAAGGAACTCGACTCAACTGCTGAATAGATCTGCTAAATGGCTAGTTGTTTTAATTAGTTTGTGACTTTTTCATGGATCCCATGAACATCCTGTAGGTGGTAGGACACAAACTGAAGAAGAATAAAATTGGTCAGGAAACTGGGACATTTTGTGCTTTAACTAAGGCGAAGGTCATTACTTTATAATTTCTACTATATATTACTGTAGAGACTGACCTGAGAACACCGCTGTATATCGCTGCTACAAAGAGCCCTGACAAGCCTGGTAGGTGATTCAACTTATCTGTTACCAGATAAGGCAATATCTGGTCAGGTTTTGTTATTCTTCCCGAGGTGAAAGGATCACAGTTGTTGTAGACAGCATAGGCGACGAGGCCAGAGAAGTAGAAGAGCCCCAACAGCACAAACAATCCCATTGTAAATAAACTGCAAAGTCTGCAAATGTAATGTTTGATTTTTGTTAATAAACAACAATCAAAATTACATTGAATGCAAGATATCAGTTATGAAAAATATAATATGTGCAACAAACTCTTTAAAAAAAAATACGTATAACTTAGTTTTCTTACCACGATGATTTTACGGATATTTTGCGCCTGTGATTGTCGACAAGAGTTCCCTCTCAGGTTCCACACATAAATGGATTATTTTCGTCACTGTACATTCTGTGTAAGGCATCCCCTATTGCCCAATCCCAGCCTTGTACCGCATAACCCGAACCCTGAATTGCATAACCCCAGCTCCCTGTAAGTGAAAGTAAGAGGAGTAGCGAGCAAGTATATAGTAACGATAGTTTGATTGCCGGCTGCTTTTTAAGGTAGGGTAAGTCTAGCTCCCGCTATCCCCCCCCCTTTCTCCCCACCCCAAAAGGTGACGTGTGGGGCTCCGGCCAAACAGTAATCACTCGACTCACAGCTCCCAGCACAACTCTTGGAATGACAGATCGGGTCACCTGCCAACCAACGAGAAGTGTTGAAGGAAAAGGACTTTTGCAAAAGTCCGGAGACGTCACTTTTTGGATCTACCTACCTAATTAACTGTAGGCGACAGCAGACAACAACCTCTCATCTTTGTAGTGGTAAAGAACCTGCTTTCCTGTCATCTGGACTGACTATTCAAGGCTATAGACTCTGTGAAGAACTAGTCGTTGGGTTGTCACTAACACCTGTGACCCCCCCCACATCATCAGTAACGGCTACAATTTCTACAAGACGGTGTCAACCTCCACCAGACACCCCAGTATAACTGTACATATTAGCGTTGAATTCAGATGTCATTTTTTCATTTCATTTTTCATTTTTCTTTCAAATAGGATACACCATCATGTTTCACTGGTTTATCTTTGCATTAATAAATAATAAAGTGTTTATCTTTGTGAATTATTATTTCTTTTTCTATTCATTAATTTTCCTGAGGAGGAGCCAGCCTTGGTAATACTGTCTGAAGTTGTTACAGGGCTGAGTAAGCCTTCACAAGTGGCGACCTTGCCAGGATCAACTCGACTGAATCAAGATTCAACTCCATCTCGAATCTACCATTGGAACTTCAACGCCGCATACCACAGATGGTTACCACCAGCCATGAGTAATCATTCTCTATGGTAGGACTACAGTACAGGTATTTAAAAGATTTGGTGATTGTTATAGTCTCAATTTATTGTAAGTCAAGTCAGGCAGGATATACTAGGTAATTTTGTCACCTTTATTTTTTGAGCTTGAAACGATTTGGAGGAATAGACTCTAGGCACCCGAGATTTTCCAGTGAAAAGTTGTCTCATTGAGCTCTATTTTTTATATCAAGGGAACTGTCGTAGGACACTCTTCATTTGTTGGTGAGAAGATTGGATGATCAAGGGACCCCATTCTACTTACTGTTTGCTCGGAGCCGGCATAGAACCCTTCGTTTTCATTCACGAATACTGTTTAATCGAAGCAGGGATCGAACCCTCCGATTTATTTACAGTTTGAGCGGAGCAGGAATTGAACCCTCTGTTTTCTTTGATATATCCATTTCATCTTCCCGTGGTAGATTAAGTTATTCTTGCAAGTATGGAGGAACACCAGTTTTGGATGAACACTGGGAGTAAGTTAGGAATAACTGGGAAAAATTTAGAAGCTTTCATTAGTGCTAAGATCCAGGAAAGACTGGAGAAGGAAAGAATTGAAAGAGAAGAAAGACAGTTAGAAAGAGAAAGAGAGAACCAAGAAAGACAGTTAGAAAGAGAAAGAGAGGAGAAAAAGGAGAGAGAGAGAGAACGCGAGAGAGGAGAAAAAGGAGCGAGAGAGAATAGAGAGAGAGGAGAAAAAGAAGCGTGATAGACTTGATCGTGAGGCGAGAGCTAAAATACGTGAGGAACAAGTTAGGTTAAGAGAACTTGAGGAAAAAGCAAAAGATAGAGAAGTTGAGGAAAAAGCTAGAGAGAATGAAGTGCGAGAGAGACAAAAAGATTGCGAGCTCGAAAACTCTTGCCTTGAATTAGAGAATAAAATGTTAACTTTTACACAACAACAATTAGAGTAAGGAGTAATTGAACATCATGCAGCTAGTGCACATATTCCAACACCTAATTTACCTCCCTTCACAGAGGGTGAAGACATTACTTCATACATTATCAGGTTTGAAAATACCGCTACCCTCTGTGAATGGCCTGCTGACACCTCGGCTACCAGGTTAGGAATGTTATTTTCTGGTACAGCTTTGAATATCTATGCAACTTTGTCACAGGATATCATATGTAATTATAACCTAATGAAGAAGGCAATCCTTAAAGCATATCAAAAAACCACAAATTCTTACAGGAAAGATTTCAGGTATGCCACCTTACAGCATGGCCAGAACTTTCAGCAGTTACAGACAACACTCTTTCGTTTGTTCGACTTTTGGATAGAGTTCAGGAATTGATCACAGTTATGAATCTCTTAGAGACTTCATGGTTGCTGACCAGTTCCTGACAGCTCTTCCCCACCAAATACGAACATTCATTAGAGAACGTAACCTGATTACAGCTGATGAAGTTGCTGAGGTCGCTGACTTGTATGCTGAGGCTCACAATTCCTGTAAAGACCTAAAGGGATCGAACCTTAAGGGCAATGGTTCACCTGAACCAAAGATTAAGAAGCCTACAGTAGAAACAAAGTCACCAGCTATTATACCAACAAGTCATCGGTGTGGTGGTATCGGACATAAACGTCCAGATTGTCCTTCAAAGAAAATAGAGAAAGTTGGTAGATGTTTTGTTGACGGTAATGACCAAGCACCCTTCTGTTCAGGAGCAGTTAATTGTATAAAAGTCTCAGACATATTACGTGACACTGGATGTACGTGCATCGTAATATCGGACAAACTGTTCCCTTACTTTAAAACCTCTCGTGTGTCCTCTATTCTTTCAGATTACTTGGGTCGTGAAAATACTTTCCCTACAATACGTTGTTACTTGAAAACTAAATGGTTCACCGGTTGGACTAATGTGGTACAAGCCCCAATTACTTGTTCTATAATAGTGGGTAACATTAAAGGTGCCGTTCTTTCTTCAGAGGCGGATCTTTCGTCACCACCCGTGGATCTAAGTTTTCCAGCTCCTCTTCCTTGCAAGTTAAATAAGCCCCTTAACAATACCGCACCGGAAGTTGCATTGTCTCGTACTGTTCATTTGGGGGTAGAAACAGTTGATACTGCTCTCGATAGTGAGGTAGCAGGATCACCTGTCCACTCGTCAGGTGAAAGTAAGGGTATTGCCTCCGGCACTCTCAGTGTCTTGACTTGGGCTCAGACCAAAGCCCAGGCTTCTCCTACCTCATCTTCTCCCACCGTAAGTCCTTTTATTTTCCCAAATTTTAGGTCCAAGGATGACTTTGTCAATATACAGCGCAATTGCCCTTCACTGCAGGATTGTCATAACCAAGCTTTTAACAACAAAGTTATCCACAGGAGATACGTATCTCATAAGTTTTAATATATTAATGGTATCTTATATAAATCTGTATTTAAATCTCATTCTTCAGCGACAGATTATTCCCTCCTTGTTGTTCCTAAACCATGTCGAGAGACTGTTCTTCAAATGGCTCATGATTTGCCAGTGACCGAACACTTGGCTCATCGTAAGACGTGGCATAAACTCAAGCACACTTATTTTTGGCCAAGCATGTACTCTCACGTTACAAAGAAGTATAGTTCTTGCAATAGGTATCAGGTGCTTGCTGCACAAAATACATACACTCCTAGTTCCTGTATATTTATTAAATCTAAAACTTCCCTCCTGGAGAAACGAGATACTCCACTATAGAAAAGGAATGTTTGGCCCTTGTGTGGGGTATCTCTAAACTTAAATTTTATCTACTGGGAAAAGAATTTATTTTAGAAACGGATCACAAACCTTTGATATACCTAGAAACTTTTAAGGGAGCCAACAGTCGCCTCTTGAGGTGAACATTGACTCTCTAAGCTTTTAGGTTCCATATTGTGCATGCATATCAATGGTTCATCCAATTATTTCTCTGACTGGTTAAGTCGTGACAGTCAGTAGATTTGTTGCCTTACGCGACTTTGTACTAGAACTTTTTCCTCGCCTATTCTTCTTATACTCCTTGACTATAAGTCTTGGTATGGGGGAGTGTGAAGGAAAAGTTCAAAAGATAGGAGTAGCGAGCGAGTATATGGTAACGATAGTTTGATTGCCGGCTGCTTGTTAAGATAGGGTAAGTCTAGCTCCCGTTATCCCCCCCCCTTTCTCCCCACCCCAAAAGGTGACGTGTGGGGCTCCGGCCAAACAGTAATCACTCGACTCACAGCTCCCAGCACAACTCTTGAAATGACAGATCGGGTCACCTGCCAACCAACGAGAAGTGTTGAAAGAAAAGGACTTTTGCAAAAGTCCGGAGACGTCACTTTTTGGATCTACCTACCTAATTAACTGTAGGCGACAGCAGACAACAACCTCTCATCTTTGTAGTGGTAAAGAACCTGCTTTCCTGTCATCTGGACTGACTATTCAAGGCTATAGACTCTGTGAAGAACTAGTCGTTGGGTTGTCACTAACACCTGTGACCTCCCCCCCACATCATCAGTAACGGCTACAATTTCTACAAGACGGTGTCAACCTCCACCAGACACCCCAGTATAACTGTACATATTAGCGTTGAATTCAAATGTCATTTTTTCATTTCATTTTTCATTTTCCTTTCAAATAGGATACACCTTCATGTTTCACTGTTTTATCTTTGCATTAATAAATACTAAAGTGTTTATCTTTGTGAATTATTATTTCTTTTTCTATTCATTAATTTTCCTGAGGAGGAGCCAGCCTTGGTAATACTGTCTGAAGTTGTTACAGGGCTGAGTAAGCCTTCACAATGGTAAAGACTGAAAACCAAAACCTTGTCATTGTGGTTGTATACAAACCTCCGGATGTAAATTCTCAACAATTCCAGGAACAGCTTTTGAAAATTGACCACTGTCTGGAAAATCTCCCAACTCCTGCCCCAAATATCTTGCTACTGGGAGATTTCAACTTGATAAACCTAAAATGGAGGAGTGTAGCAAATAATGTTTTAGCAGAGATCACCCCAGGAGGCAGCTCAGATGAAAATTCACACACTCGAACTATTAAATCTCTGCACCAAATTCACCTTAAACTAGAAAATATTAGAGCCTACAAGACCAGAAAATACACTTGACGTTATCTTCACTAACAACGACGATCAGATACATAATATAACAGTACAAATATCTTGTGAGTGATTTCTTGAATTGTTTGTCGGCTTGGGTCATCCGACTCGGGCGAGATAGAAGGAGCAGCAAGGATCTAGGATTAGATAAAAAACAAACTGGCATCAGTACCTAAACTGGTCCTCTTCCACTGTAGCTGACCCGCAATCATCTTCATATCTTCCTTAAGCCATTCTCCAGTTGTCACCCCACCATAGCTTCATTGTGGTTGATGACTGGCGACTCTACTGCTTCAGAAGGTTGTCAGAGGATCCCAGTACCTCGGTTCTTCACAATCCCTACTCATGTTGGAGTCCCTCTCTATTTTCTTCAAGTGTCACAACAGTCACGTTCACCAGTGACACCTGCGCCTCTGACATCAACACCGGTTCAGCCTTCCAAACCAAGATTCAGAGCTACATGCCCAGAACATCGGCACGGCACTACTATATTATTCACATATTATGTACATATTAGCTTAAAGTCATTAATTATTATTAATAAAATTTTCTATCTTGTTATGTTACCCAATCTCTAAAAACTCTTTGCCTTGGGTATCTGCAGGCATGGTATATCCAGAAAAACAGGTTGGACTTGCACTTCTGACCATCCCAAAAAATGCCGCTCCCACATGACAAAAGGAGGGTGCAACTCTTCTTGTAACTTCCTTCACCCCAAAATGTGTCGCTTGTCAAGCCATGAAAGACAGTGCTGCAACACATACTATTAGGCACACCATCTAAAGGGGACAAGAAGATACAAATCACCCAGACCATGAGAAACAAAAGAAGGGAGCCAAACCCTCTCCAGAGAAGGAAGTCTTTTAGTATCAGGAAGGAAAAAAGACTGGCAAGAAATGACAACAATCCTACACCAACTAAAAGCACTAATGGAGCAGAGGCAGAGTCATTGGCCTCTACTCCAGAACAACAGATGCTAATGCCAGCAAACAAAGGCCCCCTAAATTCCATCAATATAATGAACATTTATCTTTGCAAAATATACAGGGTCTAAAGTCATCAACAGCGAAATAATTTACATCAATGGACTGCTCATGGAGTCAAATGCAATGTTTGTGCCTTTCACAGAGACCCATAAACAGGATCAATTTGACAATGATATATGGATCCCAGGTTTTAACCTATTCAGATGCGACAGACTAAACAGGCAACAAGGGAAGGGGGATGGCTTATACGTCACAGTCACTCATTTGCTCAGAACAACTAAACACCTCAAATGATGTAGTTGAAGTTTTGGCAGTAAAGACTGAAAACCTAAACCTGGTCATTGTGGTTGTATACAAGCTTCCGGATGCAACTTTCCAGCAGTTCTAGGAACAGTTTTTGAAAATTGATCACTGTCTGGAAAATCTCCCAACTCCTGCCCCAAACATCTTGCTACTGGGAGATTTCAACTTGAGACATCTAAAATGGAGGAGTATAGCAAGTAATGTTTTAGCAGAAATCACCCCAGGAGGCAGTTTAGACGATAATTCTGCACCAGCAACTAATAGAGCCGACATGACTAGAAACTATGTTGGACATAATGCTGATGTATAGACAAGTATTTGCAGGGCTCCTGACTAGCAAAATATGATCACTTATGAGAGCGTCTTCACAAAATTCAACTTCAATAACAAAAACATACACTGGGAACAAGTCAGTCTTGTCCTAAATGGAACAAGCTGGGAAGACATCTTAAACAACATGGATGCAAACCTTCGCCTAGAGAAAATAAACTCTGTGGCACTTGAGGTCTGCTCAAGGCACATTCCATTAAGAAAAAGAAAGAGAGGATGTAAACAAGAGAGAGATGCTCCCTACACAGGCGAAGGCGAAGAATCACAGAGTTGCTGAGAGGGGCCAGTATATCTGAAATACGAACGTAGGAACCGGTCAGAGAAATTGCGTATATCTAACTGAAGGTTGAGGAATCTTACGGGTGGCAAGAATCTCAGGAAATTGAAAGAAACACAACATACTTCTTCTCTTATGCTAAATCCATCCAGTATTGGACCCCTGCTTAGATGAGATGGGATTAACACAGATGACAGGAAAGAAATGAGTGAGATACCAAAGTTCCAGTACGACTCAGTGTTCTGTGAGCCATTAACCAAACCAAGGTTTCGACAAACTAAATGAATTTTTTAAGATTGAGACTTAAAATTTGGTCATTTCAAAGATCTCTGATATTATCCTAACACCACAAGTCTTCAAAAAGGCAATTAATGCTATGCCCATGCACTCTGCCCCAGGCCAGGACTCATGGAACTCCTGTTCATCAAGAACGGAGAGGGAGGAAAAGGACGCAGGAGTCATCCCACAGTCGCTAAAAACAACAGACATAGCCCCACCCAACAAAGGTGGCAGTAAAGCAATTGCAAAGAACTACAGACTGATAGTGCTAATATGCGGTATAAAAATCTTTGTAAGGGTTCTAACAAGGGAGATCGCCGACCACCTACATACACATCAGTTATGGAACCCAGAGCAACACGGGTTTAAAACAAGCCGCTCCTGTCTGTCCCAGCTACTGGACCACTGTGACAAGGTCCTGGATGCTTCATAGGATAAACAAAATGCAGATGTAGTATACACAGACTTTGTGAAAGCCTTAAACAAGTGTGACCACTGTATAATAGCACACAAAATGCATAATAAAGGAATAACAGGAAAAGTTGGTAGATGGATCTATAACTTCCTAACAAATAGAACACAAAGGTAATAGTAAAAGTGAAGTCTGAGGCGGCTACAGTGAAAAGCTGTTCCACAGGGCACAGAACTCGCTCCTTTCCTGTTCCTCATCTCATATCTGATATAGACAGAGATGTAAGCCATAGCTCCGTTTCTTCCTTTGCAGATGACACCCAAATTGCCTTGACAGTGCCCTCCATTGAAGCCACTGCAAGACTCCAAGTGAACATCAACCAAATCTTTAATTGGGCCGTAGAAATTGAATGAAGTTGAATGAAGGGAAATTTCAACCACTTAGATATGGAAAACTTTGGGAAATTAAAACTGTATCAGGGTAAAAAAAAAAACTAATTCTAACAACACAACAGATTGAAATACTAATGTGAAGGGACCGGGAGTGATAATGTCCAAGAATCTCACCTTCAATGATCACAATAATGTATTTACCTCATCTGCTAAAACAAATAAGAGGATGTATGAGATCCTTCAGAACTAGGGATGCCAAGCCCATGATGATTCTCTTCAAATCACTTGTTCTCTCTAGGACGGAATACTGCTGTACACTAACTGCCTCCTTCAAGGCAGGCGAAATTGCTGACCTGGAGAATGTTCAGAGATCTTTCATGGCACACATAAGTATGATAAAGCACCTAAAATACTGGGAACGGTTGAAGTTTCTTGATTTGTATTCCCTGGAACTCAGGTAAGAAAGATACATGATGATATACACTTGGAAAATCCTAGAGAAATTAGTACCAAACTTGCATTCGAGGATCACTCCCTATGAAAGCAAATGACTGGGCAGGAGATGCAACATTTCCTCAATGAAAAGCAACACAGTAAGTGTCAGGGGCCCAAGACTGTACAACTACATCCCAGCATACATAAGGGGGATTACCAAGAAACCCCTGGCTGTATTCAAGAAAGCGCTGGACAAGCACATAAAGTCAGTACCTGATCAGGTGGGATGTAGTTCGTACATCTGTTTATGTGCGGCTAGCAGTAACAGCCTGGTTGATCACACCCTGATCCACTATGAGGCCTGGTCTCAGACCAAGCCGCGGGAGTGTTGAGCTCCGAACCCTCTCCAGGTATCATTGATTTGTCTATCATTTCTATCCGTAAGGAAGGTTCGGCCTCATCAAATACTCTTTGAGGGTCTGATGGGGCTGTTGAACCCTAACAACAAAGCTCTAACCAATAATCTTCCTGAAATTAAAGTGTATATACATTCTGTTTATTTTTTGTAATTGAACATAGCACTCTAATAAAAAAATATTTTAATAATGTAAAGAATCCAGCACAAGAAAGTTACCAATAAACTTAGATATATTCCCCGGATCTGAGAGATGATATAGAACTTACGACTGCGAGAGGCTGAGAGTTCTGACTGAGACGAATCTCTGGAACTGAGTCTGGTTGAGGCCAAACAAACTGACTGCTGAATAGGCTCCTAGAACCTGTGTTGACCAGAAGGTGTGACGCACAAAGGGACTCGGGTCCATACTGCATGAGGGACAAGCAAACAGTGCTTGTATAAGTTTCGTGGTTCATACTTTACATAAATGATACATACAAATACATACATAACACATACAAATACATACTTTTTGTATTTTTCATGAAAGTTCCTTTGTACCACTGACAAGTGTTTATTACACATTTGTTTTTGGGAAACATATACATATAAATAATACAAGATAGAAAATAATACAAGATACACAATAATACTTGCTTAAAGAACTCTAGTCGTCCTCCTTTTTCAGCGATTGTCCAGACGTTGGCAGGTCCTCCCAGCTGTTGGCAGCACATCACTGACACCACCAACACCCCAGCAAACATAACAGAGTTTGTACCACGTCTGTGTACACCACAGCTTTCACTCCGCCCTGTTATCATCATAATTATTACTATCACATTTATCACATTCGTTATTAACATCACGATCATATTACTTGCCTCAACATGAGTCAAAGCGACAACTATGAAAGTTAACACCGAAATAGAGAAAAGATCATCAGAAGAAGGCTAATGAATCAAGCTGTGACATCCCATGACAGCATTTAGGTAATATATTATATCTGGATTTATGTACGTATGTATGTAGTATGTACATAGATGTATATTTATATGAATCATGTGCATGTACGTTTGTAAGAACAGATATAATACTGTACATTAGGAAGAGTGTGTGCATTCAATAACTTTTTTTTGTGTGTGTGTACTCACCTATTTGTACTCACCTATTTGTGGTTGCAGGGGTCGATTCATAGCTCCTGGCCCCGCCTCTTCACCGGTTGCTGCTTGGTCCTCTCTCTCCCCGCTCCATGAGCTTTATCATACCTCGTCTTAAAACTATGTATGGTTCCTGCCTCCACTACATCAATTTCTAGGCTATTCCACTGCCTGACAACTCAGTGACTGAAGAAATACTTCCTAATATCTCTCTGACTCATCTGTGTCTTCAACTTCCAATTGTGACCTCTTGTTTCTGTGTCCCCTCCCTGGAACATCCTGTCTTTGTCCACCTTGTTATTCTGCACAGTATTTTATATGTCGTTATCATGTCTGCCCTGACCTTCCTGTCCTCTAGTGTCATCAGGCCGATTTCCCTTAACCTTTCTTCATAAGACATTCCCCTTAGCTCTGGAACTAACCTTGTCGCAAACCTTTGCACTTTCTCTAGTTTCTTGACGTGCTTTATCAAGTGCGGGTTCCAAACAGGTGCTGCATACTCCAGTATGGGCCTGACGTACACTGTGTACAGTGTCTTGAACGATTCCTTATTAAGGTATCGGAACGCTGTTCTCAGGTTTGCCAGGCGCCCATAGTGTGTGTGTGTGTGTGTGTGTGTGTGTGTGTGTGTGTGTGTGTGTGTGTGTGTGTGTGTACTCACCTAACTGTGGTTGCAGGGGTCGAGTTATAGTTGCTGGCTCCGTCTTTTCAATGGTCGCTACTAAGTAACTCTCTTCTTCATGAGTTTTACCATACCTCTTCTTAAACCTATGTATGGTACCTGCTTCCACTACCTCACTTTCTAGACAATTCCACTTCCTGACAACTCTGTGACTGAAGAGTTACTTTGTAACATTCCTTTGACTCTTCTGAGTTTTTAACTTCCAAATGTAACCCCCTTGTTGCTGTGTCCCATCTCTGGAACATCCTATCTCTGTCCATCTTATCGATTCCTCTCAATATTTTATGTCGTTATCATGTCCCCCGCCCCCATCTCTCTTGTCCTCCTGTGTCGTCCGGTCTTTTTCCCTTAATTTCTTCTCGTAGGACATGCTCAATAGCTCCGGGACTAGCCTCCTTGCAAACCTTAGCACTTTCTTTAATTTCCTGACGTGGTTGGCCAGGTATGGGTTCCATATTGGTGCTCCATAATCCAATAACGGCCTGACGTACACGGTGTACGATTCCTTACTGAGATGTCCGAATGCTATTCTTAGGTTTGCTAGTCTACCATATGCTGCAGCAGTTATTTGGTTGATGTGCTCGGTATTATACTCACCCCAAGATCCTTTTCCATGGGTGAAGTTTGTAGTCTTTGGCCCCCTAGACTGTATACTCTGAAATCTTTGCCTTTTCCCAATCATGACTCTGTTGGGTTGAGCTCCAGAAGCCGGTTTCTGGACCAAGCTTGCAGCCTGGCCAGGTCCCTTTGTAGTCCTGCCTGGCCATCCTCCGACTGAATTATCCTCATCAACTTCACATCGTCTGAAAACATGGACACTTCTGCATCCATCTTTTCTGTCATGTCATTCAAATATACCAGAGACAGCACCAGTCACAGGACTGACCCCTGTGGAACCCCGTTCAACACAGACGCCCACTCTGACAGCTCATCACGTACAAAGACTCGCTGATGCCTTCCCGTCAGGTAATCTCTGAATCATTTCAATGCCTTCATTGTTATACCTGCCTGGTAATCCAAGTTTTGCACTTGTGTTGAACTGAATCGAAAGCCTTCTTACAGTCCAAGAAAATGCAGTCTACCCACTCTCACTCTCTCTTGTCTGTAGGCTGTCACCTTGTCATTGATGTCCAGTAGGTTTGTGACACAGGATTTCCTGGCTCTGAATCAGTGCTGGTTATTGCTGATAACCTGATTCCTTTCTATGTGCTCCAACACTGTTCTCCTAATAATCATTGACACAGTAGTTTTTAATGCTGCATGTCTGTATTCTTTTTTAAAAACTGGGACTATATTTTCTGTCTTCCATACTTCAGGCAGTCGCCCTGTTTCGATAGATGTGTTGAAGATTGTTGTTAGTGGTACACAGAGCGCCTTTGCTCCCTCTCTCAGGACCCATGGAGAGATGTTATCTGGCCCCATCGCCTTAGAGGTATCTAGTTCATTGAGCAGCCTCTTCACCATTTACTCGTATTGTGTATTGTGTCCAGCACTTGATGATGTACCCCACCACTCCATCTTTCTGTAGTCCTTTCTGTCTCATCTGTGAATAATTTTTTGATTCTCATGTTGAGCTCCACACATACTTCTCGGTCGTTTCTTGTGCTTTGCCTTCCTTCCTTCCCCAGCCTGATTAACTTGTCCTTGACTGTTATTTTCCATCTGATGTGAATGTACAACAGCTGCAGGATGAACTTGGCTTTTGCTGCTATGTAATTTTTGTACTGTCACTGTGCCTCCCTCCTCAACTTAGCATATTCATTTTTGGCTCCTCGTCTACTCTCCTTATTGTCCTGGGTCCTTTGCCTTTTATACTTCTACCATTCTCTAGTACACTTAGTTTTGTCCTCTCTATACCTTTGGGTGAACAAAGGGCTCATCCTGGTCTTCTCATTATTTATTTTGCTTTCGGGTACAAAACTCTCCTCTGCTTCATTGCATATCCTTCTCATATATTGTATCATCTCATTTACTGATCTCCGTACCAGTTCTCTGTCCCACTGAATCTCATGCAGGAAATTCCTCATGCCTGTGTAGTCCACTCTCTTGTGGTTTGGCTTCAGTCAACCTGCGCTTCCTGCTTCCCATTCTACTTGTAACTCTACTATGTATTCGAAGCTCAGAACCACGTGATTACTAGCCCCGAGTTGTCTTTCATATGTGATGCACTCAATATCTGCATTACTCAAAATGAATACTAGGTCCAATCTTGCTGGTTCGCTCTCTCCTCTCTCTCTAGTAGTCTCCCTTACGTGTGGATGCATGAGGTTTTCCAATGTCACCTCCATTATCTTAGCCCTCCACGTTTCTGGGCCCACATGTGGCTCAAGGTTTTCCTCTCAATTTATTTGTGATTGAAATCACCCACAATCAGTATTTTCGCACTGACCACTTGGGCCCTCTGGGCACATCAGCCAGTGTGTCAACCATTGCTCTGTTACTCTCACCATATTCGTGCCTTGATTTCCTGCTATTTTGTGGTGGGTATACATCATTGCAATCACCACCTTGGACCATCAATCTGAAGTGTTCCATTATGTAGTCCCTTCCTTTCACTCTGTCTCCTCTCTCCAACTTCCCATAATTCCACTGGTTTTTGATGCAGTGCAACTTTTCCATACCCTATGTTCCTTCTGTCTTTCCTCAGGATCTGATATCCACTAGGAAAAATGGTGTCTGTTATTCTTATGATCTTCGTTTCTGTGAATGCTATATCTGTTTATGCCTCTGTGATTCTTTCATGCCACCCCTGCCACTTCTTTTTTATTCCCTCAGCATTCTTCTCCAATATTGAATTCTGGGGGAGGGTGTAGTGGGGGACCTGGCAGGATGCAATGGGATTCTACAGTGTAGTGTGAGGTGAAGGGTGTGGGTGTTGAGTGTGGTTTGTATTGGGATAGCACTTTTGGCTGTGTTGGTTCACTCGACTCTGGTTGCCCTCTACTGACTGTAGACTTGTTTCTCTTTCTTGTTCCTTTTGTCTGTGTCCTGTCTCTCAGCTATTCTCGTTCTGTAGCAATCTAGGAACATCCTCTGGTATTTCATTCATTCCTTTAGCTGTGGTTTTTCCTGCAGTATCCTGTTCCTTACCGTTTCTGTCTTGAAAATAAGTTTGATTAGCCGATTTCTCCTCTTCAAGTTTCCCCCCCCCCCATTCTCTGAAAATTTATTAGCTGATTCATGTCCTCGTCTCCCATTTATTTGATGATATTTTAAATCTCTTGTTTTTCTTTCTGCTATCTTCCATTTATATCCTCCCTTCACTCTCCTGAAGCCCATGAATAAAGACTGACTTCACCCTCTCCTCCTCGTCCCTGCATCTCTGGTTTCCATTTATACATAGCCACTGCCAACCTTATTATTTCCCAAATCAGCTAGCGGACTGGACAAGCTTCTGTTGAGGGCCTACCCCTTTCTCTACCTACTACTCTGCCCACACTTACAGCTGTCTCTGTGCTCAATTTCGCTCCCCTTTCATTCCTCTACCCTGCCTGGTGGCCTGAATGTAAGTCTTGTGTCTTCCCTTTCCTTTGGACCTCTTGTTTAATATTGGTTTAGCTGCTCTGGATACCATATCCCCTGTGGTCGTTGGCCCTGTATCTCCCTTCAGTATGCTTACTTCCTCTTCTAGGGCCTCTATCTTGGCTTCTTCAGCTTCAGCTCATGACTCCCACTACTTTTTATGTGTCTCCATCTTTTTCTCAATTTTCGTGGTAATCTCACCTAGTTTGTTTTCCCACTCTTGCTCCATCCATTTCAATAGCTCTTCTATCCTTCTTCCTTTCCAGACTCATCTTCCTCTGGTCCCCTGAATCTCCGACTTCCACTCTGGAGCCTTATTTTTAGTTTAGCGAGCTAGGTGACATAGTGTATGTGTACTCACCTAGTTGTGGTTGCAGGGGTCCATTCACAGCTGTGTGTGTACTCACCTAATTATACTCACCTAATTGTGAATGCATGGATAGAGACTCA